ATATTACAGCTCCCTAACCATCTGTTTTTGTCCATCTCAAAATGTAGAAATTACCTATTAACTATTTCCACATTTAGAATCTAAAGTGAGTTTTTCTGTATTCTAAAATTAAGCATCCATTTATTTGAATTACATTGTATGCATCAGTAGCCTTCTTGTCGTGTAAAACCACTGACCCACAGTTCCAAGAAGCTCTGAATTGAAGTCATTGCTCCAAAGAACAGAAACCGTCGAACCTGTCTGGCTTATTTCATTTTTTCAAATATGATAATGAAATTACTTGGTCATCTATAATACAAACAACACAATTTGTCCTCTGCTTTCAACCCATCTATAAGTGAACAGGAGCGATCTAAGGGCAAAGGGTCTTGATCGTGTACCCAGACTTGCAGTCTGTGGGCATTAAGTTGGGTACATTCAGCTTTCTTCATCCCTTCAGGGTTTCTGGTACCAAGACTTTCTGTAGGTCTTTTGCAGTTGTTAAAGGGTGGGGGACCACTTCCATTCCCAGGGATCTAGTAGTAACCAAGCTATGCTTCATGTGTATTTAGAAGCACTAATCTTTATAATCTCGAGGGTTGAGTCATTTGATGGACAACATATTTTTTTTCCATTCATTATAAGATGTGGTTGTTGTTTTCTTTTTTTCTTTTTTTCTTTTTCATTTGCTTACATTACCTTTGTCATTGGCAGGACCTCGATGGGTACCAGGAAGATGACGTTGATGGGGATCTTGGAGCACACGATGGAGAGCACTACTTCTCTTCTGCCCCTTCAGGTTGGGATGACCCTGTGAACCATGATGTCCCGCCTCCTTACATGCGTACAGACAGTGGCCCCCAGGACTATAACGGGGGCTCTTACATCGGTCGTGGAGAGAGCTTTGTGTCGTCTGCCATGATCGTCTAAGAATCATAAAACTATTGGATGTTTAAAAGGATGATTGGACGCATTTCTGTTTGTGAAAAAAACATGATTTAACTCTTTTTGAGAGTCATATTTTTGGGAATGTGAATATTTTCCGCCATGTTGTCAGCAGTCTGTATTGTGTGTATATATTTGGAGGTGTTGCTTGTTTATGGTGAGCCTGATGCAAACTGTAGTGTACATCTAAGAATGTAAAATACCTGGATATTTGATATTCCAGCATACTTGAACATTTCCAATCTATGTTCAGGTTATCACACTTCTTGTATAAGCCTTTTTATCAGGGAGATGTTTCAGAATATTAAATATTCCTACCTGCTGTGGTTATAGATGTAACTTGGTTAGCAGAAGCCCAATAAATCCTGGTAGCTGCATCTGTTGCTTCTCAGGCCCAGCTGGTATGAAGTCGGTGTGAACCAGGCATCATGTGGAGAAGCCATTAGCTGCAGTTAATCAGGCAATGCCAAGACGAGAGCCACAGACCGTGACGACATTAGGTTTTTAAACTGCTGTCTTATCATGTTTTAACACATTTTCTTGCAGATTTTTTTTCTTTTTCTTGTAGGCTTTTAGATTAAGATGGTCAGACAGCCTTAAAGGAATGTTTTTTGCTTTTGTTTTTTATGCAACAGTCTTTTTACATCCTTCTGTCCGTCCTTAAAGCCATAGAATGAAAAACACTGTTGCTAAATGCATTACCACATGTAAAAACTGAAAAACATTTGTATATATATTTTTTTTTTATCACTATCTACTTTGTGTGTTCAGTTGAATTTTTTCAAATTTGGATTAAAACCACAAATATGTTGCAAAAAATCTCTAATGAAGGAATGGAGGAGTAGGGATTTTTTTAAGAGGTCAAGGGGTTGACACCAAATGTAATGTGTTAAATATTTTTAACTTATCATCCTTTTTTTTTAATTTAATTGAATTTCTTTGCTTGTATGTGCTGGTGCCGCAAGGGATTTTCGTATTTTATTTTTTATCTATAACAGGTGATTTTAATGCTTGAAAGCTACTGCTTTAATTCATATTTTACATGCAAATTTATTTTTGAAATTTACTGTTATTGATTCAATAAAAACTAAATTTAAGGTAGCCCAAATAATTTTTCAGCTTTTTGTGTTCATTGCAGCATGACTTGTCACGCCCACGCTTTTTTTGTTTCACGTCTTCGCCACGTGAGGGCAGTATTTACTGAGTGAGGGACACTGCTGAAGAGTCTAGCCATGCTTGTAACCTGCTAATGACTGACACAGAAAACACCCATCTTAGAAGTGTGCTGTTGCTGTTCTTAGTGTCGTTTTGTGCCATTGATCAGGAAATAAAGGAATATGGTGCATGGCGAGGCTACAGTTCACATGCTGCATTAGGACTGCAGTGGCTCAAATTATATGTTGGCGTACTCTTGTTCAGGTGCTTTCCTTTATCTTGTCTGACTCATCACTTTCTATCTTTAGCTTCTTTTCCTTTAGTATAGCACCCCCACTCCAACACTAGAAAAGGTTTTTTCTTTCTTTTTTTCCAGATCAAGGTGATCCAGTTTACTCACTTTAACCACACCAAACAATCGCTACAGATGCAGAATTTAGGGATTATGCAGATATCTCTCTAACACCAGTGACTTGTGTGTGTGTGTGTGTGTGTGTGTGTGTGTGTGTGTGTGTGTGTGTGTGTGTGTGTGTGTGTTCTCAGCTCGATGTGTTGCAGCTTATCAGTATTAATTGGTACGTTGTGCTTCTTTGTCCTGAATGAGCCTGGGCCTTTGCAGATTAGCCCGAGCTGCTGCTACTGCTGCAAATGAAGGCTAGCTACACACCATGACTCTGCAGTCTGCTACCCCTCTGCCTGCATTCTGGTCACACATGAGCAAAAAGGCTTCTCCGAAGTACTGAATGCCTAATAGGTCGATTGCTGACATAATGTCTCCTGGAGCTGAAGGCCATTGAGGCTTCCTATTCATTTTCTATGCATGGATGAATAAGGAAACGAAAAGATTGGGAGAGGGAAATATTACTTGTAAGACCTTAATCCCTGTCCAAATATCAAAAGTTGTAATTTATTTCCACACTTTTTTTTTTTTTTGCTTTATTTCTTTGGTCCTTCTTTCTATCTTACAATATTGCCTCTCCTTTGCTCCTTGCCCCCTTCAGTCCTTTAATGCATTATTATGTCCTAATGTCCTTCCTTCAGTTCTTCTCTGTAAACTTGTCTGCAGATGTTTTACTTTTTGTCCTCATGTCTTTAATTTCTTATCTTACCTTGCCCTTCCTTACCTCTTTTTTTCCTGTTGTATTTTTCACTTTCTTTCTGATCTCTACTTCCTTTTTTCCTTCATTACTCCTCTTATATTCCTTTCTGTGTCCTTCCATCCCTGTTTTCTCTGATCTCCCTGACATGTTCTTGTTTGTTCACTTTTCTTCCTTCTGTACTTGCTTTCTTCTATTATGTCCTTCTCTCTTATGTTATATCCTTAGAGTTAGTGTCACTAGAGTCCTTCAAAGAGGAAATGGAAGACATGAAGCTAAGGTATCAGGTTTTATATGTACAGTATTGCTTCTCTAAGATCAATGCTAATGTCTTTCCTTTGTGTTGCTCTTGTGCAAAGCTGATTTTCAATTTCTGAAAAATGCCTATGTGAAAAAACAGAATATATATTTCTTTTTAGACACACTATGGAGATGATAAATAAAATCCACCAACACTGATTACCTTAAGAACTGATTTAATAAGAATATAGGCTGACCTGTGATCTGAGGCCTGTATAGATCCAGCTATTTCACAAGGGCTTCAAAGGTTTTTTGGAAAATATTGATAAACTGTAGAAATCATTATGGAGGAATGTTACAGCGTGTGAAGTAAGTTTTTTTTTTTTAAGTTTCATTTAAAAAAAGACTCAAAAGTAGACCCGGGGCTTTTGGAAAAACATTCCTCCGCCACTGGAGCAGTGGTCATGCATGCCTGAGGTCAAATTTTCATCAATGATTTGTTATACTTGACATCAATAAATTCTCTTAAAACCTAGAAAGTGTTTTTCTCTTTTCTGCTGCACTCTGAGAACTCTCCCACATGGATTAAAGAACCAGGTTAAAACAACTTGCTAACTATTAGCCATTCAATCCACAACTCTGGCCTTTACAGTGGGCCACAAAGTCAGATTTATATTTTGCCTCAGGTCACGAAACAACCTCAGCAAACAGATGAAGCTCTGGTCAAATGAGACCATCTTACTCTTTGACTCACATGCGATATGTCATGTGGGGCCAAAACTAACATTATACTAAGCAAACCAATCCTCTTTTATGGAAACATTTTGAAAGTAGAGGCATCATTTTTGGGAAAGTTTTTTTTCAGTAATGACAAGGAAACTGGTCACAGCTGATGGAAAGATGGATTAGCCAGAAATGGTGAGAAAACCTGGAGAATAAATCTGTAATAGATGAGACTGGTACAAGGGTCTTCTTCCGATCTGAACATAGAAGGGTTGATTCCAGTTTCCACAAGTCAATGCACCCTTGCGCTCGGTTCTTCCCCCTGAGCTGCACATTAGTCTGTGAATCTTTGGGCATTTGAGAGACTGATAAAATGAATGTAGCTGTAATGTAAAGTGCTGAGAGTGGTCAGATGACTAGTAAAGCACTTTATATAAACTCAGTCCCTTTATGCTTCATATCCTCAATCCAAAACCATTTGTGATTTTTCTATTACAAAGTCGATACTTTCTGAAAAGTGTGTTTGCAACAAAATTAGAACTACGGTAACGGATCTCAATGCTTTTTGCACAGGGGCTGCAGTGTTTTCATTTCCCATGACTGTCAAAGCATTCAGAGGCTTTTATATGTAACCGAAGGGAAAGTTTTTCTGAGAACGCTCACGGCATATACACCGTTACTAATAGAACTGTTCTGAGTATTTGCCCCATTACAGGATTAGTGGACCTTGTGAATTGGCAGCCAGGTAGCCAAGAGTGAGGAATAAGGCAGAGAATAAAGCTCTCATCCCTTCAGCGCTGCTAAGCCGGTTAAAAATAGAGGTAGAAGAGAAGGGATTGAGAGAATCAGGGTGGACAGAAAAGTTGTGGGAAGGAGCAAATGACTGAGTTGACTCGCAGCAAAGTAGTTGATCAGGCGTTTAGTGAGTGACCTTGTCTATAAGGGAAACAAATGTGTGGCAGCTTGAGACTTTAGCGATCCCTAGTGCTCATGTTTAAGCCACCAGTAACTTGACCTGATGCACAGACTCGCCATGTGTATGACAATGATGAGCCTGTTCGGCTGCATGCTGATGGCTTGGTTGGTGAGTAAAAACCAGATTGATTATAGGCCTCGAAGGAATTAGAGTATATATGCATAGATTGAAAGAAGTGCTTGAAAGATGTGGATCATTAATTAAAAAATTAATGAAATGACCCCATCTGGTTATTCTGCTTGTACTAGTTTTTAATCTTGCTCTTCATAATCTAAAAGCCCTTTTAAATGCCTTGTTTCCCTCCCGTTTTTTCTTCTATTCCTGTAAACATCAGGCCAGGAGGACAGGCTGGGTGAAAGAGCAAGAAGACGAAGAAGGCACAAACGCTGGCACTGTGGTGAGTGACGCTGTGAAGCTGCGAGCGCAGACATGAAGGCATTCTGGTCTGGAAGGGCACAGCTGATGGTGCAACTGGATGAGGGCTGTGAAACAGGAAGACAGAGAAGCTTCCGGGGATTAAAGGGGAGTGTAAGGTGGAGGGCAGAGAAGGCCAGTGGACAGCTGGAGGAGGCTTTGATCACATCAGATCTGCTGAAATTTGGGCCAATTGTTTCTCTGCATTTGGAACCACTAAATCAGTCAGATAAATACTGCTTTATGAGTCTCAGATCTATCTAGAGCTTATGTAAACTAATAATAGGTTGTGTGTTTATCTAAAGGTTATTGAGTTTATATTTAGAAAATATGCATTACAATGTTTAAGAGAGTAAAGCAGGTCTAAAAATATCAGTGAGTGGAATGTGGGTGTTACAATGTTGAGAGACCAAATTATCTGCTTGGCGCTTGTTGCTGTTTCACACATCACAGCAGACAACTGCCCACTGAATGTGGCAACCTTAGCTGTTACAATCCAATCCTTCTCGTTGGCTGCATTTACAAAAAAGAAAATAAAAATCTATTGCAGCTGTAAATGGATCAATTTACAGAACACACACCCTTTTGATTTAGCAACAGTGAATTATAGAAATGTACATACACTTCCTTCTGTAAATTATACAGTGAGAGGGGTTGCTTCATATACAGAAGCTGACAGCCATCTGGGGTTTGATTCCGAACATTTTGATCTAATCTGAAAAAATGACATTCTTTCAAATGGCTTGTGTTAAAAAGCTGCTGTAATATCTCACATCTTTCTTCCTTTAACTGTTTTAATCACGGCCTCATTAGTGTTGTCCATGACCAATAGTTGCCTAGTTACCAGATTGTCCTGCCTTAGCTGCCCATATGTGCAGCTTCTCCAGAGCCTTCGCTTGGATCTCTGATGCTTCAGTCAGTAGCTGGGCTGTTCTAATCGTACATATATTAGCAGGCAGGTGTGTGCACAGACATTTTTAGAGGTAAGTATATAAGCAATAAAAAAGACACCATAACCAAATTACTTTTTAAAATAATAAAACAAAAACACTTTATACATTTCTGCTTGTTTTGACTGTCCTTCGTTGGCATAAAAGAAATATATCAGTATGTACTGTACATAATTACAAATAATTACTAACTGAATCTACATAAAGCTGAGAACACAGTATAGATTATTTTGTTGTTTTTTAAGAGAGTAGAAGCATCGTCCGACTGTTAAAATTAATAAAAGACATACCTTTCATTTCAAATCAGAACCCTACTTTCAGTACTTCATGTTTACAATGGGTCTACTTAAATCAAATCAGCAGCTAAGTGAAACTTATATTTCTCATTGTTGTGCCACTCTATATTATAGATCTTCTTATCTAGCCACCTAGAAGTCGTTTTAATCTGATGTAATTTTAATTAATAATAGGGATATGCCGATATTTTAAAACTCATGTAGCCGATAACCGATATCGATACCGATGTTAAAGCTGGACAAAAATAAGTAGTCATTGAAAATAGCAGTTTTGGTATCCATTTCTGACACAATAATATACTCAAATATATTTTCATATGCTGATATCAAATTGATTTTTAAAAACGCGGTATCGATCTATTTTACTTTCAAAATCTCGTGAACTTTCATCGTTCTGTTACAAACTCTCGTGAAATTTTGCAAATTCTTGTGAGATTTTGTTAGTAAAATAGATCGATACCGCGTCAATATATCAACATATAAAAATATGGCAAAATTTCGTGAATTTTCGGGGGAATTGGTAGCATAACGATGACATATAGCAATATTTTCATTAGTAAAAGAGATTGATATGGTGTTTTTAAATGGCAATATATCAGCATATGAAGATATTGGGATATTTTAATGTATCACTATTTTTTCCCTCGTCTTTAGAAGTTTTAAGTCTGTAAACAAGAAGTTTTTGAGGAAGAAGAAGAAGTAGTATTTTTTTTTTTTTTTTAGACTTTAGAAACTCAGAAGCTGATCAAATATGGGGTTAAATATCGGTGGGGTGGCCGATGTCCGATATTCAGTTTTAAGGCCGGTACAGGCCGATACCGATAGGGGGCCGATTATATCGTGCATCCCTAATTAATAATGTTACTTACCCAGCAAAATATGCTGTCAACTGTTGTTGTTTTATAATACTCTAATGATAATATCCTTCACTGTAGGATTTTTAAAGAATTTATTTGTAAATGGTGGTGGAAAATACGTTTCTGGTCAATAACAAAACTTCAACTCAAAACTTTGCAGCATAACCTTTGTTGGCAATGACAGAGGTCAAACGTTTCCTGTAAGTCCTCACGTTTGTACTTTCTGTAGCTGGTGTGTTGACCCATTCCTTCATACAGATCTCTTCCAAAGCTGGGATTTCTTGGGGCTGTTGTTGGGCAACACAGACTTTCAACTCCATCCATTTGTTTTCTGTGAGTTGAAGTCTGAAAACTGGCGAGGCCAGAAATTCGTTTCAGGACTAGCTCTTTAATTGAATGAGTGTTGTGTTTGTTAGGGTTACACTCAGTATTCTGATCTCACTGATAGGAAATTTTGGCTCATGCTACGTTCTTCCCTTTACATGAATCGGTTGTCCTGTTCATTTTGCAGAAAAACAGCCCCTCCAACACCATGCTTCACAGTAGGCTGGTTGTTCTTGGGAATAAACTCTTCATTCTTCTTCTTCTGAAAAGGGACAAAAAACTCTATTTCATTTTCTTCACATAATATCCTCCCACCCCTTATCTGGATCATCAGTATGCTCTCTGGCAATAGTGGAAAGTAACAAACTACATTTACTTAATTACTGTACTTAGGTATATTTTAGAATATCTTTACTTGCATGCATGCATTTTGCGTCATGCTTATCCCGAGCGGGGTCGCTGGTGCATATCTCCAGCCGTCCAGGGGCAAGAGGCGGGGTACACCCTGGACAGGTTGCCAGTCCATCGCAGAGCAACATAGAGACAATCAGGACAAACAACCATTCACACACACACCTAAGGAGAATTTACCTAACAGTCATGTTTTTGGACTGTGGAAGGAAGCTGGAGTAACATGCAGAGAACCCACACATGCAAACTCCATGCAGAAAGACCCCAGGCCGGGAATCAAACCCGGACCTTCTTGCCGCATGGCAGCAATGCTACCCACTGCCCCACTGAGCAGCTCAATATCTTTACTTGAGTAATTTTTTGGGGGGGTACTTATAACTTTCACTCCACTACATTTCGAGGATGCTGCTAGCTAAGTGTTCCTTTTGGCTCAGCTTTTTAATCTATTTTTTTTAATGTTGTCTTGCATAGTTAAAATGTACATATACATTTTTTCGTAGTTGCTTCTTAAGCATTAAGCAGACAAATATTTTTCTCTTAGTTCATTTGAGTCTGCATTTGAATTCTAAAGAAAAAACAGAAGATAGAGAAGTTAGAACTAAAAGCTCATATTGATGTGTGTAGCCCCGGAATAATTTACTTCCTGATTGTTATGTCAAAGTAATTCTGTTGCAGAATCTAACTTGATAACATTTTCAGTAGCTTATAAGAATAAATTCCACATAGTTCTGTTCTGAGCTACTTTTTGTTTGTCCTTTATTAACTTTAATTATAACCTTTCTATATTCTCCTATATTTTCCTGCTGCATATAATCAGTAAAACTGTGAATCTAAAAAGGGATCAGAATTATTCGACACAATTGTTTTAGATGTACATATTTCTGGCTATAATATTTTCTTAGCGATCCTGTGGCCTTCACTGCTTGCGTATGTAATGCTTATTCATATATTTTAATGTTAATTTAATTGAACAGATGATTAAAAGCTTATTTTTTAGTGACTCAGTTCACTAAATGAAAGACATCATATAGATCAGCAGTACAAAGACAGTGTTTTTCCTAGCTGTTATTTCTGTTCATTGAAATGCTTTTCGGATTACATGTGATGAAAATATATTAAATCAGACCAATAAAAGCATTTTATATAGAAGCATTGTCTTAATTAAAACTATGTCTAATGTCTATTTAAATTGCTTTTTATCCAGACTTCACTGGAATGCAGAATTTATTTAAATATACCATTTATTCATGCCATCATTAAATTAATGTTTTCTTTACTGTTGAATAAGTTTGAAATAGTTGACTAATAACTGGATCTGCAAATGTTGGATCATTTAGATCTTCAGCTCTTAGAGCTGAAAACTTACTGGAGAGATACTGTTGTAGTATAATTCAGAATAAAAAGATCCCATTCACTCCTCCTGGAAAGGTAAATAGCAGCTGTGTTCATATGTGTCCAATTTTGTGAGCTTGCTTGTGCTACATTTAGTCACGATGCTGACTGGTTTTTAATATTTAACGCCTTCAGCTCAGGTTGGATTTTCTGAATCTTCTTTTTGCTGTTAATCATTAGAGCAGAAAGGATCTCAAACGTAGCCTTTTAATATCTTGTCAAGTGTTCCTAACTTTCCCAGAAAATGAAGTTATCCAAAATCAAAACAATTTCCTTCATTATTAACAGCGGGGAGCAGGTTGCAATGACAGAATAACAACCTTCTTTTTGAGTGTTTCGCAACCAGACACAGACAGGTAGCTTTGAAATCAAATGTTCTTCAGCTGACTATTGATCTACACTGTCATACCTCATGTTCTCCAATCAATCTGTCATTCTTATGCTTCAAGTGGTTGTCAACTAATTTAAAGGACATTTACTTCAAAGTCAGCAACATAAGATGCCCTTAATCCACTTAAATTATGCACCTCCCTCTTCTTTTTTTTTTTTTTAATCCATCTGTTTCTGGCTTCTAATGCAGACAGCAGGACAGGGCACAAAGAGGCAGGTGCTTGGTCTTTTCACCATATTAAAAACGTGCTCCACCTGAGCAGAAAGTAGAGAAGTAGAGACATAGTATTACCTCTATTCAGGAATAACATCTACACCACAGAAATACGTAAATTTAAAAAATCCTCTTCAGGCAGCAGAATG